GGCAGGCTGAGCCAGCCAGAGTTCAGGTATGATGGACGCCTGTAATTCCAGTGCTGGGAAGGCTGAAAGCAGGAGGATCACCATGAGTCTGAGCTGCATAGTGAGACCCTGCAACAACAAAATACATTTTAAAAAAAAGAATAAAGCTGAGATTATGGAAAAATATGTAGGCTTGAAATCAGAAGATGTCTATTTGAGTTTTTGGTCATGTGTTTCCTAGGTAAACTTGAGCACATCACTGAACTTCTCCCTTGGTCCTTGGTGCCTCTCTCTCTCTCTCTCTCTCTCTCTCTCTCTCTCTCTCTCTCTTTCTCTCTCTCTCTCTCTCTCTCTTTTGTCCTAGGGATTAAATTTGGGACCTTGTGCTTGCCAGGCAGGTGCTTAAGCAGCTGAGCTATCTCCCTGGCCCCACCCTCATCTTTCAAATTGAGATTAATAATGATTATTTCAATAGGTTGCTATAAAAGTTTTCAAAGCTAACCATGTGACAGTTCACAAATGGTTCCTTTTTATGTTGTTTACCAGCAGATCATCCTGAGGGTGCGCACATTCTTTAGTCAATATTCCATTTCTTCCCTCAGGAACAAGAGCAGTGTGACTTGGAGAACTAAATGTAGCCTGGGAGGGGGTCTGATCTTTTGCCAATACTTGCATCTCCTTGCCAGTGATTATTTCTCCATTAAGCAAAGAAAGAAGATGACAGGCTTGTGATTTTTAAAACAAAAGTTCTTCCTTGTTATTCTGAGAGACACCCAAGAGATTCTCCAAGCTGGATATAAAAGAGGAAGTAAGGAAATGGATAGGTAACTATTCTATACACACAGAAGGGACCAGCTGGGTGGATCATAGTGTGAACTGCAAAGAAGAAACAGAGGAAGAACCTAGGGCAGTGGTGGTGAACCGATGGCACACGTGCCACAGGGGGCATTTGTGCACTGGAAACTCTACAAGGTTCGCCATCACTGACCTACAACAATGGTGATCTCGTTATGTTGCAAATCAACCCAAACTCAAGTCTGTGGTACCTGATATATGAATCCATTTCCTTATTTTTGAGTTGAGGTTTCTCTTACACAAACTCAAAAACAGCCTAAATGACACAGTGGAGCTCACAAACTGCTCTCTTTGGAGAAATGTTCCAACCCCTTTAATCAATTGGGATTCTGAATTATTAGTAACCAAACTCATCCCACAAGTTTCAACAGAAAAGAACATTGTTAAGGAATATTAAGTACCCTGTTGAGTCTCCTCGAGAGCCAGAGAGTCATCTTTGGAAGACATGCATACCCCAAGCCTCACACCAGCCACATCATGAGGTGCCAGTGAGGGCCCATGGCCAGTGGCAGTGGGTAGACGATTCACCTGGCCTGTTTTATAAACTGTCCTGCTAGGTATCATAAACCTGAATGTTTATTGTTGCTTCCTCTGAAATTAGTATGCTTTTGCTGCCAGTCTCTTCAGAAAATGTATTCCACCTGTTGTTTGTTTCTTCATTGGTCTTTTCAGAATATAAATCTGGCACATATAAAATTGATTGGTTGGGGCCGGGGAGATGGCTCAGTGGAATAAGTGCTTCCCTGGCAAGCACAAGGGTCTGAGTTCAATCCCCGGTTCTGCCCCCCCCAAAAAAAAAAAAAAAATTGATTGGTTGAATCTTAATTCCATGCCTGTACCCTAGCTGCAAGGGAGGCTGAAAAAATTAATTCTGCCTTCTGGCTTGAAGAGTTGGGGCCGATAAGAAATTCACAAAAACGGGAAAGGCCTTTGAATAATGAGAACTGTGCCAGGTATAACAAAGGTATTTATTATACGGGAGTCAGAATATTTAGACATTTTCCAAACATAATACATAGCCATTATGTGAGCTAGACAAAAAAAAAACTTTAAACTTTTTCTTTTTTTAATTTTATGTATTTGGTACAGGTTCTCACTATTCAGCTTGGACTTGTAGTGATCTTCCTGTTTCAGCCTCCCCAGTGTTGGGATTACAGGTGTGCACACCAGGTGTGGTGACACCTGGTCTTGGTGGCCTGCTCCACACAGCAGTATGGCATGTGGTACTGGGGATCGAACCCAGGACCTTGAGCTTGCTTAGGCAGGTACTTAGACTGCTGAGCTATCGCCATGTCCCAGCCTATTTCTTTTTTTTCTTTTTCTTTTTTTTGGAAGGGTCTACAGGGTGTTTAGGGTCTCACTACTAGATTGGACTTGTAGTGATCCACCTATTTACAGCCTCCCAAGATCTGGGATTGCAGGTGCATAGCACTACACCCAGTCTCAGCATGCTCTGGGGACAGGGCCAGCACGGCAGGCCAGGGGACCGACCTCTCAGCCTCTGTGTCTACCTAAGCAGGTGTTTTAATCCACTGAGCTATTTGGCTGGCCTCTATTTCTTTAATTGGAAAATCTATCTATCTATCTATTTTATTTTTTTGAGATAGAGCCTCACTACATAATTAAGACTAGCCTTGAACTCACAGTGATCCTCTTGCCTCAGCCTCCCACATGCTGAGAATAAGCATGTGCCACCACTTCCAACTGAACTGCAAAATCGTTAACAGTACCTCCGTAGAGCAAATGGCCTACACTGGCAGGAGCTACTTCTCCCAGCGGAGACAGTGGTGAGTGGGCTCTGGCAGTGGAGGGGAAAAATGGGAAGTTCAAAAGCTGTGCGAGCACAAGGCAACCCCTTCTCTGCCTTCTCGAACTTCAGTAGAGGCACTGCACTCAGGACACACTGTATTGAAGTAGATCTTTTCATGGACTCTAGGAACAGAGCAAAGAGAAGCACTACAAAAGCAGGATAGAGTTGGGTGACCATAAAGAAACAAGACAGAGCATCCCCAGAAAGAGAGGAAAAGACTTTATTATTTTGAGCTTCTACAGATGGGCCTCATCTCCCTATAACTGTGAGGACCAGGAAAGCCCTGGTTGATATTGGAGCTGCAGGTGATTTCATGTATCCATGCTTTGGTTTACTAGGTTGATGCAGAGTTCAGTTGACAAAGGACAATCTTATTTCCTAGATTGTCTACTCTTCATAAGCTCTCACACAATGCCAACAAAGATTATAAGAAAATGAAGGTAGGTCACAGTTGAAATATGAGAAAGGAAAAAGATGAATAGAAGTGGGGGGGGTGGTGACAAGCAGAGCCAGTGAGGTAGCTCAGGGGTCTAAGCACCTGCCTGGCAAGTGCAAGGTCCAAGCACCTGGCTGGCATGCAATTCCCAGTACCCTATGCCTTGCCTGCCCCTCCCCCAGCTCACCTAGCTGGTCACCAAAACAGGGTGTGGTTGCTCATGGCTGTAATCCCAGCACTGGGGAGGCTGAGACAGGAGAATCATTACAAGTCTGAGCTATGTATCAAGACCCTGTACCAAATACACAAATTAAAAAAAAAAAAGTAACAAGAAGCCGGGTGTAGAGGTGTTATGCCTGTAACCCCAGCAGTTGGGAAAATGATGTAGGAGGATCATTTCGAGTTCAAAACCAGGTGGGGCTACAAAGTGAGCTCAAGCCCAACATGAGCTGCATAGCAAGACACTGCCTAAAAAAAACAAAATAAATAAATGATAGTGATAAGCAAGCTAAAGCTATCTAATGCTGGTCCATGTGCCTGTAATATTTTGTTTGTTGGTTAAGGTTTTCTTTTTCTCTTCTTTTCTCTTTGAGACAGGGTCTCACTCTGTAATTCAGGCTGTTCTTAAACTCACTAAGTATCCCAGGCAAGCCTCAAATTCACAATAATCCTCTTGCCTCAGCCTATCAAATGCTGAGTTTACTGGTATGTATATGGGCCACTATGCCCGGCCCTGAATTACTGACATATTTTGTATAGATTACAAAATTGAGTGTGCTGACATGTATATGTCACGGTGTGCGCGACACTGGGAACTGAGCCCAACAAGCACTGAGCTACCTTCTTAGCCCTGCTTATTTTTTATTTATTTATTTATTTTTTTGGTGGAACTGGGGATTGAACTCAGGCCCCTGTACTTGCCAGGCAAGCGCTTATTCTACTGAGCCATCTCCCCAGCCCCCAACCCCCAGCCCTGTTTATTTTGAATCATGGTCTTGCTAAATTGCCAGGCTGTCCTTGAATCTGCAATCTTCCTGCCTTAGCTTTCTTATAGCTAGGATTACAAGATATCCCACCAGGCTCAGCTAAAATCTTTTTTTTTTTTTTTTTTTTGGCGGAACCGGGGATTGAACTCAGGCCCTTGCGCTTGCCAAATGCTTATTCTACTGAGCTATCTCCCCAGCCCCTAAAATCTATTTTAAAGAGACAGTGCACACATAATATTCACCCCTATAAAGGGTACTGTTCTGGGCTTTTTAGTCTATTCACAATTTGTGCAACCATCTACACCATCTAGTTCCCATTTTAATCAACCCAGAAACTCCGAACCCATTAGCAGCCACTCCCTATGACCCCTTCCCAGAGGCCTTGGCAATCAGCTACTTTCTGTCTGTGGGTTGGAATCATATAGTACATATGGTCTTCCCTATCGGCCTTTTTCACATGTGTAGTATTCTCAAGCCTCCTTCATGTCGTAGTGTGTATCAGTAATTCTTTTTGTAGGTGAATGTTCCATTGTACAGCTATAGCACATTTTATTGATCCGTTTATTAGTTAGTGAACGTTAGAGTTGGATCCTACCTTTTGGCTAATAATGGTGCTATAAACATTCATGTACAGGACTTTGTATGTACATATATTTTTAATTATCCTTGGTATATATCTAGGGGTAGAATTTTAACACCACATTTGACATTTTAAGAACAAAATTGTTTCTCAAAGTGGCTACAACATTTTATATCCCTGCCAGTATATGAGTGTTTCAATTTCTCTACATCCTCCCCAGTACTTGTTATTGTTCCTTTTTTTCTCCAGCCCTCCTACTCAGTATGAAATGGTGTCTACCTGTGGTTCCTACTGCATTCTCCTAATTGAGCATCTTTTCATGTGCCTACTGGTCATCTATATAATATTCGGAGAAATATAATTTTCAATCACTTGTGCCTTTTAAAAGTGAATTGTCCCATTATTGTTTAGCTGTAAGATATGTTGATCATAGACCTTTACCATATATATTCCTTGGCAATATTTTCTCCCACTCTGTGGGCTGTCCACTTCACCTTCTCGAAAGCATCCTTTGACGGGCAAAGGTTTTTAGCTTTGGGGAAAGCCAAATGAGTTTTTCTTGGATTGATTGTACCTTTGGTGTTATATTTGAGAAACTGTTATATTTGAGAAATCTTAATAATCCAATCTTATTCTTCCCCCACTGCAGTCTTGTCACACTTATCAAAATTAATTACTGCAGAAGAGTGGGTTATTTCACTATTTATATTTGATTTACCAATCTGTCCATCCTTGTGCTAGTAATGACAACTGTGGCTTTTGCAATAAGTTTAGGTGTCAGGACATGTGAGTCCTCCCATTTAGGTCTTCTGACTCAAATTTGTTGTTATTCTGGTTCCTTAAATGTCCACATATGGGGCCAGGGAGATGGCTCAGTATAAGCTCTTGCCTGGCAAGAGCAAGGGTCTGGGAACTGAACCCAACAAGCAGTTCCACAAAAAAAAAAAAAAAAAATCCACATAAATTTTAAACCATCATGTGAGAGCTATAGGTAAATTCAGGGACGAATGCTGTAACAGTATTTAGTCCCTCAATCTATTAACATGGGGTACCTTTTCATTTAATTAGATCAAAGCATCTTTCCTTAGAAAGAAAACTTATTCTCAAGCATTTTAGATGCTATTGTAAATGAAACTGTTTCCTATTGTTATATTGTTCATTACAAGTATAGGAATATACTTTAATTTTGCAAATTGATCATTTATCCTTCAACTTTACTGAACTTTATTAGTTCATGTAATTGCTTAATGAATTCTTTACGGCTTTAGCATAGAATATTATGGACCTATGAATATAGTTTTACTCTTTCTCTTCCAATGTGGGTGCCTTTTGTTTTGCTGGTCTTAATGCACTACCTGGAACTCCCAGTGGCATCCGTGTCTCATTCCTAATCTAAAGGAAAATGTTTTCAATCTTTACTCAGGATATTAGAGAGGCTAGGGCTACAGCTTATCGGTAGGAACATCTGCTTAGCATGCCTCAAGGGAAATCACAGGTGATTGGGGGGCATTTTCAGGATTTTCCTGGGTGCATGCCTCGTTTATGCAAGACTTTGGCCCTCTAAGTCCTAGAAGCATATTAGAATCTTTTGAACAACTCATTTCCCACCTATTCCTTTTATGTGTTTTAGCCTGATGTTTGTCCTCAGCTGTTTCCTGTGCTCATCTTAGTCCACTTGTGTGCCTATATTAGAGTATCCTGAGACTAGATACCTCACAACGAAAAGAAGTTGGTTCACCTGGCCAGGGATACAACTTAGCAGCACAGTGCCTGCCTGGCAGGTGCAAAATGCTGAGTTCAATGCCAGAACACCCAGGATCAAGGTATGGAGCAAAGGTAAAGAGGGCAAGAGAGAAAGTAAAAAAGCGCTTCCCTGGCAAGCGCAAGGGCCTGAGTTCAATCCACAGTTCTGCCAAAAAAAAAAGTAAAAGGGAGCCAAGCTTCCCTTTCTGAGGATGGCCCCAAGCCAGCCAGTCCTTCCACCCTCCAGGTCAGCCCCTCTCAGTAGGCCCCACCTCCCACCACTGCAGCACTGGGATGTATTCAACACACACTTTTTAGGGGACACATTTAAATCACAACACTACCTCAGATAGCTACCATGTTAACAACTGCCACAGACTGCCAGGCATGTGATGCATGCCTATGATCCCAGTACTCAGGAAGCTGGGACAAGAGGATCTTCATGAGTTGGAGGCCAGCCTGGTCTATACAGTCAGATCAAGACCAGCCTAAAATACATAATGAAACTGTCTCGAAAAACTAAAAGGTCAATAATTTTTTTTTTTAAAGCAGATGCCACAGATCATTTTAACAAACATATCTAGTGAGTCCTGAGTCAGATGAAATAATAAACTTCATAAATGAGATTAAAAAACAGTAACTGAGATTTTCCAAAGGTGTTCATCTGCTTTGCATTATTATAATGAAATACCCAAAGGGCTTAAGTTAGCAAGTTTTTTTTTTTTTTTTTTTTTTTTTTTTTTGTAGTCCCAGGCATTGAACTCAGGACCCTGAATTTGCCAGGCAAGCACTTATTCTACTGAGCTATCTCCCCTGCCTTTTTTTTTTTTTTTTTTAATGTTTGTTTTTGCAGTCGCTTTGGCTAGTGTCTCTAGAGGTTCCAATCCAAGGTCAGGGAGTTCCACTGCTTCAAATCTGTGGCCAGGACAGAAAATCATGGCAGAAGCATGTGTCGTGCCTCTGCACTTGGTACTGCTAACAGAAGCGCTCAGCAACGCCATGAATACAGTTCACAAGCCCAAGATTCTAAGTGTTACCATGACAACAATACACTTGAGAATCCACAGACTTAAACTATTGTAGTTGGAATTAATAGAAGGTTCTTTAGCAGGCCCATTTATCTATTTTTTATTACAAAACCAAAAGCTTATAACAGATCCTCTAAATTGCATTATGTTAAAGAGCATTATTATTATTATTATTTTATGCTCTATAAATGCAGCAGACTTAGGGCTAGACTTTCCTTGTCTTCACTTTAGAATGGAGGGAACTGAATGGCTAGGCAGGGTGGCACACCTATAATCCCAGCCTTAGGGAGGCTAAGGCAGATGGATACGCTGTGAGTTCGAGGACAACCTGTGCTACATAATGAGTTCAAGGCCAGCCTGAAATACAAAGCAAGACCCTGTTCCCCTCCCCCTCAAAAAAAAAAAAAAGTACTGGAGGTAACCAAGACATTTCCTTCCAAGGCATTCAGCAAGTTTGCTGCAGAGCTACAGAAGTGTCTGATACTTCCTAAACATATTCCTCGGAACCGGGGATTGAACTCAGGCCCTTGCACTTGCCAGGCAAGCGCTTATTCTACTGAGCTATAACTCATTGCATAAATAATAAAGCCTGAGAGTCCGGGGGTTCCTCACGCACAGACTCCGGGGGCTGCAACTGGCTGAACATCGGACCAGGCAATAAGGTATGGTCTCAAACATCTGCTGGTTCCTCCACTCCTATTCTGTAAACTTCCTTCGACCCGTCACAGAAGGACAATCCATCTAACTTCCAGGGTCCAACGGTGCTAACTGGGAATGTTTTCGAGTTGGTGGAGCTCATTTCAAGAAGCAACCGAAGCCTCCACTCCGCACCCTCTCCTCTCAGCACACGCCTGGGTGCCAGAAACAACCCCTGCGCCTAACGCGCCACTGTAACGCACCCTTGCTTTCTCTCGCCTGTCCACAGCGCCGTCCAAACCGCACCAGCATCTTTACTACTTTCTCCCAGGGCGCCAAGACCTGGGCAGACTATGGTTGAGCAGGACCCGGCCCGCACTGTTTCCGGGGCCTTGTGGTTGCTTAGCAACGGCCACCGGAAGTGACGCCAGCCGTCGCCGAGGAACCAGGAACGCGCTCCACCGTGCAGCTCAGCGGGAGAACCGCGATTGCGCCTGCGCCGGAAGTAGGGGTCTGGCGGATGGCGGGGAGGTGCTTGTGGGTAGGGACCGTGACGCGGCCCCAGGCTGTGTCCTCGCGAGCAGAGCGGGGCGGGCGCCAGTTTCCTGGTAGACTGCTAACGCCGGCCTAGGTCAGTGAGGAGCCCCGGGCCCCGGCCTGGCCTGCTGCTCCCCTCCCCTCTTGGTGTGCGCCTCCTGGTGGGCGGTCGACCCCCAGCCGGGCTCGGACGTCTCCCTACCTTGGGGTGGACCCGGCAGGTGTGTGCGTGCGAGGCCTAGGCTGGGTGTGTGCGGCCCACAGAGCTCCTCCCGGTGCAGCGTGAAGGGCAGAGCCCTAGAAAGCCAGGGAATGATGGACAGAAGAGTTATGTTTTAAATTCGTAATTTTTGAGGCATGATCAAGGCTCAGTGATATAA